AGACTTTGTCCACTCTCTTACAACTTTTTTCTGGGTAGTGACTTTACAGATATACAGGATATTGTGGACCCCTCATTTGTCATAGCAATAATAATAATTTCCTATTAAAATATTCAAAATATAGAAATAAAATAAATAAACATTAAAAAAATTAAATTTTTCTCATTTCCACTCACCTTCAAAATTTGTGCAGTACCTAACGACAAGAAACCCTCTTGCGTTTTATTTTTCAATTAATTAATTTCTACAAAATTTATAAATACCCAGATTTGGAAATACACACTGACACATGTCTTCATTTTCTGAGATTTTCAGCTCTAAACACTGACTTATCGACACTATCATGCATACTTTGTCTAATTAACCGCTGTAAAGGTTATAATACACGATAAAAAATTTTAGTATTTACTAACACCTCATACAAATATCGTATCACTCTGAAGTTGTCAGACCGTAGACAGAAATATTATACTGACTGTATCAACAAAGACCGTAGTAAGCAAAGACCATAAATGTACGATAAACCAAAGATCAAAGATCGTATTGTGACAAAACCAAAGCACAGATCGTATTATTATAAACAAAGACTCTACGTGTTATTATTTATTTTTTAAATTATTTATATTATTTTAAGTTATTTTTTATTATTTATTTGAAAGTTAAAATATTCTTAAAATGTTTCTGATAATTATAAGCATATATTTTTTTTATTAAATAGTATTTTCATCAGTTGATGACGCATTTTCATCAGTTGATAATCTATTTCCATCTTCAGTTCTGCCATTTCTATTGTCTTCAATCTCACGAACACGATAGGCATTAAAATTATGTTGTTTGATGTCATCTATGTAGTGAAAACCCGTTAGACAATCAAGGCATAAAGGAGTCAGATCATGCAGTTGTCGATTACTATTTTCCACTATGAAAGTGTAGTTCTGTTTCGCGCACATTGGACATATACGATTGTTGTATGTGTTGTACGATACCAACAGTGGATAGCATTTTGGGTCTACGTTATATTTATTTGGAGTCAAAATATCCAGTTGCGAAAAGACGAACACATGTTCGCAATTTCCATGATGCATATAAAGCTGCGGAAATCCAAAACTAACCGACAAATCCAGAAAACGCGTATCCTGCATATTTTTCACATTTAATTCAAAGTTTTCGTAACCCTTGGCTTCCTTGGCCCATTCTAGAATTACCTTTGAATAGTCAGGAGTTTGTGGATTACGCATATCATTGTAAAATGTGTCAGTTATAAAAAAAAATGCAGGATTCGATAACGTATCAGGAAGTTCAGCAAATGGATCATCGCTTATATCGAAAAATCTCTTTTTCTTGCAAATACATTTGATTTTGTCACGTAACTCACACAATAAATTACTTCCCAAACATTGAAATTCTTCTTCAAAAACATATTTCTTCGCATAATCTTTAGGCTTGTAAAAACGGATTGTCACAATAACCTCATTGAAATATTTATGATCCTGAAACCTTTTCTTTTGATACGGTATTGTCAGCATTCTATACGACTCAGCTGTACGTTGAAATGGACTACTGTCGCGTGTTGCTTTAAAATCGGCATAAAACTGATGACTCAAAAAGTCAGAATCGCTTTCAGTTCCCATATTTGCTTCTTCATCACAGCTTTGAAGAAGTTGTTCTATATCAGTTAATTTCTCTAATTCTTCTAAGCCCTTGTCATCTACAGTATTTCTCATGAATTTTTTCATATTAAAATTTGGAAACGAATTTTCTTCAGAGTAAATGAAATCATTCTTGAGTTTAAGCGTATATTCATTTAGAAACTCTTTAATCGAGATGAGAGGTCGCATGTTTACTTCAGTTGTTATTTCTAATATATGCCTGTTTTCAGCCATCTCTAAATCAAAAAATATTCAAAATAATATCCAAATAAATATTAAATTATCACAATTAAATATTCTTTTTTATATTTCTCTTACTTTTGAGGGGCTTAATATCTATTTTATAAAATACATTAGGTTGAAAGTGAAATCAATTGGAAAGTCTTTTGACACAAGCTGAGCGTGTGTCAATTAATAAAAAATAGAAACTATGTAAAAAGGATAGGGCATAAGCGTATATAAATAAGAAAATAGAGTGAGTATGTCTGCTGTTAGATTCACTGTTTTTAAATCAGTAAAGATATTTATACTCTAAAACAAAGGAAAGAATGAAGCAAAATGAAATATAAAAGTTTCCGACAATTCCAACTGAATGCTGCTAATAAACCACAGGTCTGCAAAAATATGTTTCGGTATTAATGTATTAGACCCATGTTATGTAGTGTCACGGGCACGTCAAAATCAAAATTGTTATTGCTTTCAATGCGAATTAGCGTGGGAGAAAAGAGAATGTTCGTTTAAATTCGGTCAAGAGAGCTGAATCTATCTGTGGCTCGTCATTCAGTCAAAGTCGTGTTGTATGTATGTGTGTATATATATCCTTTTAAAAATTAGGCACCTACAAAAAGTACAAAAGTAATAGTAAAAATATGAAACTGACAAACTGATGTGACATTCTGCATAACATGCATTTTCGTCATAGTCCGAAAGAGCCAATTTTAATGTGCCAGTGACACTCTTCTTAACATGGACCTTACGAAAATAGTCCTGACTTTCAACGTTGTTTGTACGCTCACCACTGGGAATCCCTAAGTATAATGCTAAGTATTACATTGAGAAAACAATCAGAAACTTCATATCTACTAGTTTCATGTGTAAACTATTTGCGCAGCGTTCCATGGCGCGCAACAAAAAAATCTATATTCCAAAACAGTGTACTTAGGAATGTTTACAGCACTCCATATAATTCATTTAAAATTTGTAATACTATTGAGTCATCTAACAATTATATACTGATAATTGTATTTTAATTTATTTATTTTAGAGAAACTTAAAAAAATTGATGTTTTCTTTTAAATATATATCATATTTAAATATTATGTTCTAGAAATTTATACATCACAAATTATAAATTAATTACATATTTACCATACAGTAATAGATCACTATTAATTAATTTCAATTTGATCAAATAATACAAATAATACAAATTTTAAAAAATTAACTTTAGCCAGAAAGCCAGCACACCAGACAATTTTAAAGTCGCGCACTGCAATTCGTGAAAAGAACAGAAATGTACGGGAATGTACAAAAATCACTGCTGCCAACCTAATTTTGTTTTTGAGAAAAAGCTATGACGTTTACACCTTTGCTTACAATGTCAAGATATTTAATGGAATATAACCATCTAACAAATAATTTTGATTATGCAAATATTAAATTGGAGTTTCGAATTTTGCAACAATATAATTTTGCTTTGCGTAAATTTGTGCAACGTCCTATAAGTTGAATGTGAATTTGATATATAAAAATTTCCCACGTTTGCATAAATTAACTCAGCTTCGCAGTTACCAAAAATTTGGGCATACTCCTTTATTTGCTGTTTGCTGTATCACTCTTCACTGGTTTATTTTGATAACATATGGTATAAATTATGAAAGGCAATTTTGTGAATGTCTAACATTGTTTCATATAGGCACTTATTCATTTATATTAAAAGTGAACGTTCACACTATAATTAGCTCATTTATGCAGCTAATAGAATTTTTATAAATTTTTAAAAAAGTTTGCTTTAATTTAATATTAAATTTGTATAAATAAAATTAAATCATTTATATATACAATTAATAGAAACAAAGATTTTAATAAATACTGCCTCAGTGTATTTATTTACAGCTCAGCTGTTGTTTGTTTACATTTTAGATATAAAACATATGACACATATGCAGCTCATAATCATAAGATCATTTATATGGAAGCACTTTGTATGGCAAATCATTCTCATTTTAGATTGAGCACAACCTCCTAAATGAGACAGTGTGAATGTGTTACAAGGGGCAGATTATGGTTGCAGTCAGGTCCTGCAATTGTAATTGCTTTTCAATACAAAATGAAATTTTGATACTGAAAGCTCATTTTATTTTGCATAGAAAGCAGCAAGAATTGCCGTAACGTGTAAATCAGGAACAGTTGATTTATAAATTTGCTGCACTGAAACCAGTTGAATCGGAACCAACTAGCCAAAAACCATCTTAAAACGCAACAGTACTGCATATACAAATATAAGCGAATATTTCGCTTGCGTTCGATAGAATGAACAACAGTGCTTTGAGCAATTTTATTAATTAATTAATTATACATTTATATCAATGTAAAAATGTGTTATTCTATATTGGAATATCTCTCATATTATGTTATAAATTATATAAATATAATATTAATATTTTATCAAATAAAATATCATGGAAATATTTTTATATTAAGACAGATAATATATCGTAATAAATAAAAATAATTATATATTAGCATGAAATTTTAGACACATGCTGAAGACACAGAAAAAAAATTGTATTCATATTTGCTAAGATATAATACAATATCAACATAATAGCATTATAAAAATATTAGACCATATATAAATATATGTTTTATATTGTTTTTATAAGAATTGTTAATTAATACAACATCCCTGATCTTACACAAACTGTAGTCTTATTTCCATTGACATTACAACTGTCATTTCTTGTTGCCATTGACTTCAGGACTGTCATTTGTAGTGTCAATTCATATTAGAGCTGTCACTTGACTTTTGTTTGTAATTTTTAGTGGAATTAAGTATTAAATTGGTAAGATTTGATTAAGCTATATGAAAAAAAACTAATATATATATTAACATAAAATTATATTTCTGTTGTTGGCAATTTTTAAAGGAACAACGTACTGATACATTAGACAAAAAGGCGATATGAGTATAGAAAAGAAGTCATTTGAATTGCAAGCACAAGTACGGCACAATGCAAATGAATTGAAAGGCACACTTAGTGATCTCTACAATTGGGAACAGGAAATTAAAGACAAAGAGAAGAACCTACAGAGGTTGTTAGATGAAACCGAAAGGGGATCAGTAACAGTAAGTAAATGAAAACGTAATAAATGATACAAAAAATACAAATAAATTTTATTTTTAAGAAACCACCGATGCGCGGTAATGTGGCACCGGCAAAAACGAATGCACCAGTTGAGCAGTGCTCAACAAAAGCTGATGTTAAGAATACTAGTAAGTATTATTTAAATGTTTTCATAGCATATAATACAAAAACATATATACATTAAACAACTAAACAGAATGACATATGTTAATTACTAAATTTTAAATTTATTTATACACATTCAACAGCTAAACCTACGACTGAATGTAATAAAAATTCACTGCATGAAAGCAAGGAGAAAAGTGAGCGTGCTAATGTTGCCAACAAAGCTGTTAATAAAAATAATCATTTAGGTAATTCTTGTTGACTTCTTGTTGAAATTTAAATATTTTTAATTTTAATCTTCTAATGCAGTTAAAGATTCGCCAGAAAAACAAATCCAACCGCTTGATGAAATTAAATCTGGTAATATACGTTTTAAAATTGACTGTTATTGAATGAATTCATTTTGTTTTATTATTATAGTTAAACGTTCAACAGAAAAAGCCGAAAATCCACTACACAAAAATGAAGAAAAACGTCTTCATGCTAATGAAATCAAAGAACGTGGTAACACATTTGTAAAGGCAGGAAAATATAATGAAGCAATTGAAGCTTACACTCAAGCTATAGAGATATATCCTGAAGATGCAACATTTTATAGTAATCGCGCTTTATGTTACTTAAAATTAGAAAGGTACTTAATATTTAAGCAAAAGCAACATTGGATTCAAAGGCAGTTATAGATCATTAAATATATATAATGACTTGTATATATAAAAAGCATTATATATTAATTCTCCCTTTAGGTCTATTGGCTTATAAAAGCAGTAAACGTTAAAAAATAAATTTAAACTAAAATTGAAAATGGCAATTTTAAGGTGATTTAATTAATGCTTTCTATTAATCTTTTAATATTTCACAATAGTTTTAATAAGAAATTATTATGTTAGTAAATTACATACGAATTTATCGTATATTTTAATAAGTATATTTGATGCTTTAAGCGTACATTTATATATCTGTATAACTGCTCCTTTTATAGTTTTATTCTTATGTTAATTACGAATAAAATATTTATATGTGTCGATTTTATATACGTTGGTAAAATATTTATATATATTTTCAATTAAAATACTCGAGATAAAAATGATGTAGTTAGTAATTTTTGATTTCAAGCATTTAAATTATCTGAAATAATTTTTTTTATATTTTTCAGTTACGAACATACTATAGATGACTGCAATTCAGCAATAAAAATCGATAAAAACTGTTTAAAAGCTTATTACAGACGTATGCAAGCACATGAGTCTCTCGGTAACAATATAGATGCACTTAAGGATTGTACAACAATTTTATCTGTTGATCCGAAAAATAGTGAAACTAAAAAGAGTTTACAACGCATAAATGATAAACTTAAATCAGCCAGTTTGTATATAGTCAGTATATAAATATATTTTTTTGATTTATATAATTTTTTAGAAAAAATAAAAGTCGATCAACTATTTTCAAAGTTGCGTTCAAATGAAATTGAGATACAACCAATTGATAAACCTCCACATAAACGTTCTAGTAAACCACTTCAACGTATCGATGTGATTGACACAATTTTAGACGCAGACCTCAGTATATCGGATGATGATATTGATAAAATTTTTAATGGAAATTGTGGAACTTTTGAAAAGGTAGAAACGAAACCAGACGAAAATTACGGTATAGATCCTATAATAGCACAAAAAACTAAAATAATTGAATTGAATGAAGATAAACTCACAAGCAAAAGTACAAATAAAAATTCTCGAAGTGATTCTAAAATTTTAGTTGAAGAAATTAGCAATAATGGCACAAATATAAAGAGTTTGGAAAATGATATACCAAAAGTGAAGCAAATGCATAAATCCTTATCAGTTCCTACCATCAGTAGCAATGTAAGATTCGAAACAATGTTACATACAATTTTATTTAATAATTTTTATTTTAGCGACCTTTGCCATCACCACCCAAATCTACATCGCAATTTTATGCAAATTGGAAAGAATTGGATAATCTACAAAAATATACCTATTTAAAAGTTAGTCTTTTCTAGTTTTTTTTTATACGATTATAAAATATATTTTTTTATATTTTTAGTCCATAGACGTTAATAAATTGTCATATATGCTTGGCGCTGGTTTTGAAAGTGATACATTAACCGATATCTTGACAGTTATATATGAATATTATTTGCCCATAAAGGATCCCCAAATCGTTGAAACAATGTTACAAATTTGTAAAAACAAGCAAGTCCCGATATTATCATTATTTATGTCTGCTAATGATAAAGAAAGTAAGTAAAGCATATCTAAAATTTGTTAATTAATTATTATTAATTATTTATTTATTGATTTTTTTTAGTGTTAACTGATATTCTGAATATAATTAAGGAGGACGAAAAAAATATTGCAACCGCAGAAATCATTGCTAAAAACTTCAACTTTGCTCTGAATTAAATAACATATTAACATTTTTAAGTAAAATTTATTTGTATTTAAATTTGTTAATATTTCAAGTATTTTTTGTTACTTAATTACTACATGAAATTCTAATTTTTAATACATTAAAATATAATTTATTTTTATATATTCAATTAAATATACTTATATTTCTAAAAATGCTCAATATTTCTGTAATAATTTTAATTAATGAAGCGACTATATGTAACATTTGGAAAATCATTTGAAATCGTTTAAAGTAATGCCTTCATAACAAAGTTTTTTGAAAGTGCGACATAAAAATGCACTTATCATCAAGCTACATTTCAGTGCTTGTTTAATTATAATTTAAAGAAATTTATCTAAAATTGCTATACAAATAAAAATCAGAAATGTAAGTGAAAAATAATTAATTTACAGGACCTTTAAACCAAAATCTTTGCTGACAGATTTGATTTACTCTTTTTAGCCTAATAGTCTAATAATATCGTAATTATTTTATAGTTTTGCGAAAATAAACAAACATAAATGTATCTAAAGAATTGTTCGCTGGACAATCATGTCATTATTGCCTTTCATCATATATATGTGGAGATATATTTATATTTGCTAACTGAACTAAAAGCAATGATAAGTGTATGGTAACTTATCATTCATATTCAATAAAACAAATCAAGCATTAAGTTTGGAATTAAGTCACTAACAAACTATAATTATAAAATTGTGAAAATCTATATTTTTGGAAACCAACGTTAAGTCAAAAAATCATGTCAGCAGACTGATTTGATGAAGAATCACTCTTAGTAATAGATACTATTGAGGCATTTGAGAACTCAAAATTGGCATTCATACTACCAACAGATGGCAAGAAGGCAATTATGATAAATGAGGACACAAATCTATAAAAATCAAATTAACCATATCAAGTATTCACAATACTTACCAGCTTGATATACTCTTCATATGAACGACAATTCATCAACGAGACTAATGAACTGATACTTGGTCTCTCTATTTGGCAAGTGCGTCATAGATTCGACACTGTGAAATAGATCGAATCGGCGAAGCAATAGCTATACAATGACATTTGCAAAACATTTTTTTCATCTTCACGCTAAAAGTGACGTGTTATCATTTCTTTTTAGAATATACCATACATGAACAATTCTGGAAGTCAAATACGCCCTTTGTAAATTAGTACAACTCGATATGATAATGGATCTACAATTATGCCATAAGCGAAATACTTCTCTATTCCGTCTTTAGGTTGCATATGTCAAAAGTTAGTAAAGTGGGAAGCGAAGTGGTATTGTTTCAATTCTATTCAGATTATATATGTGTACAAACTTTTGAAAACTCGATTAGAATAATTGTTCTGAACTATCAAAGAGCACTGGGTTAGACATTTTAATACTACATAAGGTGGTCATTTTCTACTAGGCAAGAGCTTATGGATAAGCAAACTTGAACCATATAGGTAAAAAGCTCCCAAATTGGACCAATAAATATATAGAATAAGAGCGAACCAAAAGAACTGGCGAACGATAGAGTCATATGTGATTCAAGTCCTCAATGTGCAGAGATTAGACATAGAAAGGTGAAGGAGAAACTAGGCTAATAAATAGTTCAGACATCAAGATAATGCTGTAAGAAAGTGGAGTTCTGGACTGAGATTGAAAATCATAAGAGCGTTGCTTGAAATGTCAAAATATAACAGACTCTTCTCGAAGTATGCGAAAGCGGTTCTGTGTGGGAATAAGTGTCTCCGAAGAATGGGTATTTTAGTTCGTATACTACACATTAATATTAGGGAGTTGGGCACACTACGTCGACGACGGTCAGTCTAACGGTGCATAAGACATTCTACCCACTAAATTCTAAAGCCAAAAAAAAAAAAATAAATTATAGGCTAATAAATATGAATCGTATTTAATCGTTTAAATTCCTTTTAGCAACATGGCGCTATTGTAAATAATTTTGATTTAAACTCTATCAAATGTCAATGACTAAATAAA